TAAATCCAAATAAAGTGAAAAACCAAGTAAAGTGATAAATCCAAGTAAAGTGATGCGTGGTGTGCAAAAATAGTGCATTAATGTCAATTACGGGGGAGGGGGGGGGCTGAATCACTTGAGGGAGGCGTTATAGAGATTGATGACCACAGGTAGGAATGATTTCCTGTGGTGCATCTGGGTAGGAGGAGTCTTCTGCCTAAGGAACCTCAGGATTCCAAGCTCTATGCCACTAGACCGCCATCAAAAGTTGGTGAATACAACTTCAAATCAGGCCTCAGTATGGGGTGGGGTGGGGGTCTGTTTGAAGGAAGCTTGATGAAACTGATGATCTGCTTGGATTTTCAAAGACTTCTTTCATCTCCCAGGTTTAATGGGACAAGAATGCTTTGGTGATGTCAGAGGAAAATGGGAAGACATGAGGAATATTATCTCCCCGAAATATGAGATGCACTCAGATTTCCTCAGACTTTCCAAAACTAAGAGTGTTTTCTTTTAAAGGTTGCCCTGTCTGTGTGATGAGATTGAGATTGATTCAGTCGGTAAAAAAAAAAGAGCAATCTGGAGTGGTTTTATAAACCTTTTAAAGGTCAATAACAGAGATATTTTAAGTTGCAGCTTCAGAAACGGTTTCCACTGACACTGCTTTGCAGATTTTTCCTCCGTTAAGGACTGAGAGGTGTTCATTCAGACCGCTGCGTGTAAAGGCCCATGTGTTGGCTCTTTTCCAGCAGTTTGAATTGACCCCAACCGTCAACGGCTACTTTTCTCTCTTTCATTCATTCCATACAACCATCTCTGCCAAGAGTGTGTATGCTCATGTGTGTGTGTGTGCATGAGACAGAGAGAGGGAGAAACAGAGAGGAAGTGTGTCGGGTTGTGCCTGTTGCCAGCAGACTGTTAAAGGACAAACGATGTTTAGTTTGTAAGGTGTGAGTAAACACACCTCGAAACACTTCACACACAGATTTTCAGTTTTTTACGGTAAACCGAGAGGAAGAGAAGGACGAATGACTGGAGTCTCCCCCATGACAGATGGTTGAGACTCACCAAAGTTTCTACTGTGGCTGAATATTCAAATCTTTAAAGGCTCCCAACAAAACGACATGAGGATTTTATTTATTTATTTATTTTGCTGAGCATGTTGGTCTTCTGCAATGCAGCAGGATCTCATTTGCATTTATAAAGGTCACTACGTCTAAATAACAGAAGAAGTTGTCCCGCGGTCTTCTGAAGCATTTATCTTATCTTCCAGGATTAGTTAAGATTCAGATTGAGGATTTAAATGTCTTAACCCCTTATGGACGGGTGAAGCTTATTAGCTTCATAGCAGTTCAAGTCTAAATACAGCCAACATGGTTTATGTAGAACAAAAGTGTTGCTTCTGGTACTGAGGATGCCATAAAATGTGCTTTAATAACATTCAGTAGTTTGGAGAGGGAAAAACACTTATAGTTTGGTTTAATTCACATCATCTAAATCTGAATAAGGTTGTAAAATGAAATAAAAATGCATCCTTATCAATGCATTTCACAAGAATGGACAAAATTTAAATGTTATGATTTTGGGTTTGAGGCTTTTTATCATTTCCAGGTAATTAAGGAATTCAGTACAATTAGTAATAAGTATAATTTCAGTTTGTTTGTAGAAAAGGTCCATTAAATGTATTTATCAGCATTTTTCTATATTGAATCTAATGATAACTTTACAGTTTTTACAATTTTACAGTTTTTTTGCACAATTTGAAGCACTTTTAAATGAAAACCTTACGATTGTTAAAAAACACAGGTTGTACATCAAATTCTAACACTGTCTCCTCTTGGCAAAGTAAAGCATAGCAGCTCGACGTACGATACAGCGAGTCGTCAAATATTGTCAAATTTAAACACAAAGATGATTAAAAAAAGTCATGCTTGTTATAAAATTTTCATCGGTCTTGTCTGAGCAACACAGCGTTAATGAAATAGTCCATAAATAAAACAAACTCAAATGTTATTCCCTATATGCCTGGTGTCGCTAATTAGCATCATACCTGAATTTGAAATAAAAGAAGGAAAAACGTAATCTGAAAAGGAGAAATTAAGAAAAATCTAATTTGAAATATAAAAAACAAAAATAGAGTTGAAAAAATGTAAGTGTGAAAACAAGTCATGATAAAAAAGACAAGCGACTCTCAGAACCTTTTTTTTTTTTTAAGACCTTTTTCAAAATTTAATTTGTGAATTGCTTTTTTTATCAAATTTCAAATAATGGAACAACATTCACTCCATACACTGGAAAAAAACAAAATCTAGATAAGTAATTTCTTCTTAAAATTAGTGTATT